CAACCAACTCACACCAAGAACTTACTGTGTATTAGGTGATCCCACATGTGTGGGGTATACACTTCCTGCCATCTGAGGACTTAAAGTTTCCCTGGAGGACCACCTAAGCAAGGGCAGACCCTGTGTTGCTCTATTATGACCCTGGTACTCATACAAAACCTGACACTTGTTTGGGGCACAATAAAAGTTACTGAAGGGACAGAGGATAGGGACTGTCAGAAGAAGGTAAAAGGAGATATGGGTATGTTTACTTTTGACAGTGCTTGTGACACTGTGGGATAAGCCCTGGACTGCTAACCCAAAGGCCAGTAGTTCAAACCCTCCAGTTATTCCTCAGAAACCCTATACAGGGTTGCTATGAGTCAGAACCAACTCGACAACACTAACTGTTAAGAACAATCATTGTGAGTGCCAAATGAGGGGCACTGGTCAAGCTGAGGGAATTAAGTGGAGGAGGAATCACCAAGGGCTGAGGCCCAAGGAAGGTTTCATCCTAAGGAGGAGTTAAACTGGGCCTGAGAGCACAATGCTCGAGGGAGACTCAGAGGCTCTTAAGGAAAGCCTGCTTTCCCGGTTAGACTGGGTTCACCTTGGTCCTTATTAGGCCTGGCACTTTCGTACTATTCCTGGAAGATGACTGTTGTTGTTGTTGTTGTTAAGTGCTGTCGAGTTGGTTCCGACCCATAGCGACCCTGTATATGGTTTCCAAGGAGTAGCTGGTGAACTTGAACCACCAACCTTGCAGTTCAAATGACTTTGCAGTCTGGCGCATTAACCCACAGCGCCACACCAGGACTCCAGGCAGATAGATGGTTGTTGTTGTTGTTAAGTGCCGTCGAGTCGGTTCCGACCCATAGCGACCCTGTACAGGGTTTCCGAGGGTGTAAATCTTTACGGGAGTAGAAAGCCTCATCTTTCTCCCGCGGAGCGGCTGGTAGTTTTGAACCGCTGACATTAAGGTTCACAGCCCGATTCGTAACCACTACGCTACCAGAGCTCCTGGGCAGATAGATGATAGATACACAATAAAAATTTTGAGACTGAAAAAGTGAACCTCGTTTGGAATCAGTAACATTTCTCCAAATTCAGCCTCTTCACACCTTCTTTGTGTTTAGTCACATCCACACACCGCCTGCACTATTGTTTGTATGACAGTCTTTTAAGCCCCTGATTCGTAATTATATAAAGTGATTTTACCATAAAACTGCGTATCAGCACTGAAATGAGAACAAGTATCATAGCCATGAAGGCAAGGTAATCCATAAAGATGAATACCATAAAAACAAAAAAGGTGATGTTCAATTAAAAAAATAGTAACCAAGAAAATGCTTTAAGAAACTAAGTTCTTCTGTGAGACAAAGACTATCTATGATCACTCAGTACAAAAGGGATTTGTTGTCGTGACGTGCCGTCGAGTAGGTTCCCTATCATAGGGACCCTGGATAGGATTTCCAAGGAGCAGTTGCTGGGTTTGAACCACTTACCTTGTGGTTAGCAGTCCAGTGCTTATCCTACACTGCCACATGAGGAAAGGGGTTTATGATTTAATATTGAGGTGGTACCTCGACCAATCTATTGGTTTGTTGTTCTGTGGTGGCACACGTGTTGCTGTGATGCTGGAAGCTACATCACTGGTATTTCAAATACCAGCAGGGTCACCTGTGGTGGACAGATTTCACTGAGCTTCCAGACTAAGACAGACTAGGGAGAAAGGTCTGGCAACATACAATGAAAACTCTATGAGTCACAACACAATATGGTCTTTTGTAGTGTTGAAAGGTACACCTCCTAGATTGGGTAGCCCAGTAATATGCTATGATGGATTCCAACTCACAGTGACAACACAGAGCAGAGCAGAATTGTCCCCTAACGTTTTCAAGGTTGTAAATCTTTGTAGGAACAGAAAGCCCCAGCTGTCTCCCTTGAGGCAACTCGTGCATTTGAACTGCTGACCTGTGGTTAGCTGTCCAATGTGTATCCTACAGCAATGCACCAGGACTCCAAGGATATTGTAGCCCACCCTTAACCCTTTTATGGGTTTACCACATCAGATCACGTGATGGGAAATCATCACCTCACTGCCACATTGCATCATTACAGGACCGGAAGCCTCTGAGAATCACGGCCCAGCCAAGATGACACATATTTTGGGGGGATATAATTCAACTTATGATACCAATGCTTGGGTATATTTTACAGTACGGTATCCCACAGAATTGATTTAAGCATTAAAGTTAAATACTAATATTTATAAAATGTGCATAAAACTGTACAAGGCTAAGGATTATTATCATTTTTTAATTCTAGAGCTAAATAGGATCTTGTAAACTAATTATGAGTTGGAGACAAAAGCAAATATTTCCACCTATATCCCTAGAATATATCATACATTTAGGGAAAAAGGGGAAAAATTAAAGTTCCATTTGAAATTTTTCTTATTAGTAAGTTTGGTCTTTGGTATAATAAATCTAAAAGGTTAATGTAAAATGATAAATCTTTATGGGAACAGAAAGTGTCATCTTACTCCCACAGAGCGAATGGTGGGCTCAAACTACTGACTTTGCAGTCACAGCCCAATTTGTAATCCACTATGCCACCAAGATTCCTTACTTAGAGGCCTCAACTACGACTTCCAGCATACCAATAATTGTGAAGATGGTGTGGGACTGGGCAACATTTTGTTCTGTTGTACATGAGATTGCCATGAGTCAGAGCTGACTTAATGACAATTAATAACAATAACAAAACTTGAAATAAAGCTCTATGCCAAGAAAATGATAGGGATGATATAGACAGCATGGTATTCATAAGCAATGAGGCTTTTAGAGGTTCAGAGCCTCGGAACAGTTTCGGTGGACATTTCCATGAAAGAGGGTTGAAATCATATTCACATGATTTGCATAAAGTACATCATCACAGCTCTGCCTCATCCTAAAAATAGTATCTATGAAATCATGGGTTTACATAGTTATGTTTTTAATGACACATTGACATAACATATAAAAACGAAAATAAGATGCCTATCCAACTTTTGTCTCTGGAAAACATTTGTATTGAAAACAAGAGTCTGGAGGTGTTGTTAAGTGCCGTTGAGTCATTCTGACCCTAAGTGACCCTGTACAGTGTTTCCGAGGCTGTAAATCTTTACAGAAGCAGAAATCCTCATCTTTCTTCCACGGAACAGCTGGTAGTTTTGAACTGCTGACCCTGAGGTTTGTAACCTCTGCACTCCCAGATTTGTAACCTCTTTACTACCAGAGCTCCTTAGACTTTGGAGGTAGGGAAGGGCAATTGCAGGTTAGGTATGGAAGAGTGGAGTGCTGCACTACCAGGTACCTATGAATAATGACTCTTGACCTTGGTTGAAAATTAGAATCATTTGGAATGCTACAAACACTACCATCACCTGAGCCCCAGCCCTAGGGACTCTGATGTCCTTGGCCCAGGACGGTGCTGGGCACTAAGAGGTTTAGAAGCTCTCCAGAGAATTCCAGTATTCAGTTAGGCTGTCTCACTGCCCAGAAGGAAGAGAGGCAAGGTGATTCCTGAAACACTTAGAATCAGAGTTGGTTGAAGGCAAGCATGTCTGTAGGTCATGAGATATGGGAGGTTGTCGGGCTCAGGGGACAGATGAACCAAGAGAAGAAGGCAGGAGACTGTGCTAGTACATGACCAGCAGACCTCAAGGACCCCTTTGCCATAAAGCAAAACAGTGAGAATTCTAAAAGGTATCTTTCAAGATCTCAAAGTATATACACTGAATTATTGCAAATACCTAAACTACAGACACTTGCATTACAAGATTCGTTTTGACTTCTTCCATTTAGAAACCATTTGAAAATATATTCTATATTTTTTGAAAAGGAATTAATAAACCCCAAAAGATGGCCAAAGCGGCCCTGAATAATGTCCGGTAAAGGACGATGATGGCAGTTTTCCACATGATAGTTTCACTATCTTGTTCGAGGGTTTTCCATTACAGGCGGGGCAGAGTGGGAGGCAGCTGCGGGCCTGGGTCACAGTTCCCTCATAATCTTGCATTCAGAGTCCTCTGAAAGATCATTGCAGGGTGGTTTGCTCTTATTTTGGCCATGTATTGCAACTTTCCATTTTCTGATAGCTAGGTCTGACTCATTTTCCCACAATATATTATGGACTGCTTGCAAGATTTTCTATCAAAACACAAATAGATTCAGATCTCTCTGAAGAACAGGCTTCCCGTATCCGTGTGTACCAGTCCATGTAAACATAAGGCCCAAAACAGGAAAATAGATTTTTTTTTAAGGTGGTATGAATTTACAGAATTAAAAAAAAAAAAGTATCTGAGCCATTCCTAGCACTGGAAAACAACCCAAAACAAGCTTATACCAGTACTTGCTCACAACTATAACATACCATGTCTGCCTCCCCCCACCCCCTTTTAGAATAGTAATTTCCATAATGCATCAGGACTAGGAACCACAGAAAAGAAAGCCCAGCAGGAAACCTCCAAAAGCTCCCTGAAAGTGTTCATGAAAGATAGCAATTTTATCCATCTGCCAGGCCTGGAAAATTAGAAGTCACCCAGCCAGAAAGAAATTCGGAGTCCCTCTATTTCTCCCGCCTCTTTGCTTGAATGTGGAGAAGAGGTGGGAAAAGTTGGAGAGGTCCCCATGGGTAGTTAGAGCGAGGAGCAGGGAGGGAGGCAGATTTCACTTTAGGACAAATCGAGAATTGTGATTATCATATAAGACTGGAGTTCCAAATTTCCACTTTGAGACCAGTTTTGCCCATTTGAAAGATTGGAGGACTCTTCAAAGAACCTAGGAGTGAGCAGAAAAGTCTAGAGCCAGAAATCTATTCTGGAAAAGTTCAAATGTCTGGGTGACAATCCTCTTTCAAATTTGTTCAGGAGCCACTGCCTCTGGACCTGTCCCATTAGTTGTGGCTATTACTTGACTGCCCTCATTTTTAAACACCCAGCTATAATTTACACAATAAATTGTCACTTGAATAATTTATTAGAGGTTCCCTAGATTATTAAATACTGTACTGGATGTTTCTTGAAAGTCAACATGGGAGACCTCATAAATCACGTTGTTTTCATCTCCTTTAAATACTATCAACACAGCAATACTGTACTCTGGGCCACTAATAATGTTCTGATTCTAGAGAAAGAGATAATTACACAGCTTAAGGGAAGGCTAGATTGTTCTGAGCTATTGAAGCTAGCATGCTATCAATGACCATTTTCCATTGTTTCCTTCAATGAGAACCACATTGCATTTCTTAAGGAAGGTTATGTGCATTGTTTCCTAGGACTAAGTAACACAAACAGGTGCCATAAAGCAACATGCATTTATTCTCTGAGTCCTAGAGGGTACATATCTGAAACCACGGTGTCAGTGTCGCCAGGAGCATACTTCCTCTGAAGGGTCTAGGGAAAAATCCTTCTTTGCCTCTTTTAGCTTCTGGTGTTGTTGGCATTCTTTGACATTCCTTGTCCTGAAACTGCGTTACTCCAGTTTCTGCTTCCGTCTTCACATGACCTTCTCTGCTAAGTGTGTCTCTCTGTCTCAAGTTCCCTCTTTCTATAAGGACACCAACCATTGAATTTAGGGCCCATCCTAATCCAGTATGATGCCATCTTAACCTATTGTAACTTGATTATAGCTGCAAAGATGCTGTTTCCAAATAAGGTCACATGCACACGTTCCGGGTGTTAAATCTTGAACAAATATTCCTGGGAGATACCAATCAGGCCAGTATAGATTTCAGGGTATGGGAGAAAGAGCAGAAAAAGACACATCTAATTTTTACGAATCCATCACGATGAACCTGAGACCTCTGACATACTGTTTCCATGAAGATGTTGCTGCTGCTGAGATGGGATCTCACCTGACCCAGTGGTTATGTGACTTTAGGTTCATCACTGCCCTTCTCTGTACACCAGATTCCTCCTTCCTAAATTAAACGTCGGCTTCCCAATTTAAAAACACTGTGCATGTTAATGCATTATATGGCTTCTATCCAGTTATATTCTCATCTAAGTCCTGCAAAAGCCTGCTCCTTCACTTGGAAATTCATTTGACCAGCTCAGCCTCATTTAGGAGATAAAAATGCCAAATGCAGCTGGAAAATAGCCATTCTCAATTCAATTAACATTTATTACATACACTCCAAGGTTTGGTACTATGCATCCAAATTTCCTTAAGACAGTAAATGTGAAGTATTAGGACAAAGATGATGGCATACTTTCCACTCCCAAGAAAGGAAATTACAACTTACAAGTGTTTTCCCAAGACCTATGAATGGGACTTCTGGTATGGGCTGTAGGATCAGCACTGGACTTTCAACAAAAAGACTGGCTATTCCTCAGGTGTTTCTAAATGCTGTTGTGTTAAGTGCCGCCAACTCGGTTTCAACTCATAGTGACCCTGTATAGCGTTTCCAAGAAGCAGCTAATGAGTTTGAACTGCTGACCCTGTGGTTCAAACCAACCTTGTGGTCCAGCATATTATCCTGTAACACCACACCATAACCTGTGTGGGTCTAAATACAGACATGAAAAAGTCACGGATGCTGGATTTCTGTTGTGGACTCGAGTTTTTTGTTGTTGGTGCCATCGAGTTTGTACTGAGTCATAGCGAACTTATATACAACAGAACGAAACCCTGCCCAGTCCTGCGCCAACCTCACAATTGTTGCTACGCTTGGGACCATTGCTGCTGCCACTGTGCCAATCCACCTCAATGAGGTCTTCCTGTTTTTCTCTGACCCTCCACTTAACCAAGCATGATGTTCTTCTCCAGGAGCTTGACCCTCCTCCTGATAATATGTACAGAGTATGAGAGACAAAGTCTGGCCACCATGACTTCCAAGGACTAAAGTTTTTGTTTTTGTTTTTTTTTTTGTTTTGTTTTAGTTCAGGATTATATATATTACAATTTGCCTTGTTATAATACATTTGTGGCTTTATGATAAAAATAACTCAGGGACATAAGAAATTCAAGCTAATTTGCATAACTGTCACAAAGGAAAAAAAGCATTAAATGTATTTCTGAAATAATTATTTTCATTTAATTTCAGAATTTCAAAACAGCATTAGACCTTGGCCTTGTTTAAAAAAAGTTTAGTTGAACACACTAAGCTAGCTAAAAAACCCTCTTGTAAGGTTTAAACATAATTGTTATAGAAAATGCTTTCCCTCTAATCTCTGTCTTACATACACAGGAGAGGTGAGGGGAAAAGGTAGACAATTTCTTTAGCAGCATATATGGCTAAATCCATCAACCACCTTGAACTAGAATGTCATTATTGACCCCATTAAAAAGAATTGGGCAAATATCAAAAGTTACCCATTTCATAAGCCAAAAGATAACAATTTTAGGGTTACAGTAAATATTTTTGAAATACTTCAAAAACTTTTATCCAGAAACTACAGAAATCATCTCTTCATTTGAAGAAAGGTCTAATAGAAAGTAAAAGACATTTCAACTAAACTGGTTTTCAATCCTCTTTGAATAAAAGAAATGAAAAACAATGGTTGATTAGCTAAGC